ATCTAAGAAAACATGATTGTGAGTGGCACAAACCCCAACAACAATTTATAATGCCAAAATGATCATTCCCACTAATTGTGAATCATATAGTAATTGCTATGTGATTTTGTTTTACCATATCGTGCAGCTTTTACTGGTAACTCACCTGCAGATCGTATGTCCCATGTATTAAGGCCTTACTGCAGTGGCTGGGTTCGATTCAAACGTGCAGCCCTTTGCTCATGTCTTAACTATCACATAAAGCCCAAAACATATACATGAGGTGATGGGGTAAAATGCCTCCCTGTGTTCTGAGTTTCCCCAGCTACTTAACTAATATCCTACTAAATCAACCTAACCCTACAGAGACTAGGGAAGCAAAACTAAGTTCATATGACATTTGTCTTTGTTCATGAGCAGTGCTGTCACATGACTCAGACTCAAGTCACAAATTTAATGACAGAAGTAAAAAAGACTTGATACCGTCAGCCAAGCTGAAAGATGTAAAAATGTGTTATTTAAAACCATAAATCAACTAACATTAACTCTGTGAATTCCCAGCAAGTTGGCACTTAATGTGAAAAATGTTACCGACGATAATTTTGTATATTTTGTTCTGTTGTTAAAATACTGTTACATTTGGTGAAGAATGCATTATGACTTGTTAAGAAATCGAAAATTAAAGTTTAGGCTCTGGGACTTGCCTGTCTTAACTTGGGACTTGCAAAACAACGACTTGGCCCTACCTCTGATTAATGAATAATCTGATCATTTAGATCCTAAACGTTTAGCACATAACATTCTTGAAAACACAGTTTGTAGTTTCCACTACATTCTTTAGATTGAAGCCTTTTGTGAACCAAGCCTACAACCCATAAACATATGCATTGAATGGGAAACATGGGGATTGTTTTTTCTGTTGTAGTATTTAAAAAGTGTATCTGGGTCATTAGAAGGTAATGTTCATCTCTTCAGGGACTGCATGTTGAAAGAGATGAGGGTTGCATTCCTGGAAGCAGAGCTACTGATGACACAGTATTAAACATTAACTCAATTGATCCACAGTGTAAACAAAGTCTACTGGTGACATCTAATTGTGGAGCAACAAGTGTCATGTATTTTTAATGATCTGCACATTACTGTCAGAGAGCACACAGGCAAGAGAGTGGAGAACCTGTTTGCTGACGGTTACAGTTTCACCTCCCAATCTCACATCTCCCCTTTCCTTCCTCCTTTCATGCTTTCGAGAGTACTGACAATTTTTTTCTTGGATTAAATTTTGTTTGCCATCTGTGCTGTAGCGATAAGGGGAGAATATATGCTATGTAAAATATTTATCCCTTCATTTTTCTTCTTGTTGCTCTCTGGGAGGATTTGGCTGCTGAGGCATATAGTTTTTATAACAATAACAACCTAAGTCGAACCAGATTTTCTTTTCAATAAGGACCTAAAAATATATATTCAAGAGGATCGTTCCAATTAGCCACTGAACATTTGGATTTATAGTATAAAATATCTGGTGTCAGGGATGTAACACCACTATGATATTCATGCAGAGATGTGAATGAGAATTTCTGCAAACTAATGTAGTATGTACTGTAAAACTCAACATAAGAGACACTGGCACTGCTTCGACTCTCTTTCCTCCTGATTTAATGAATAAAAAAGATCAGCAACAGCAATCTCATATCTTATGGCTTGTTTTGTACCCTTAATCGTACTCAGAGAGGAAGCACTCCCACTCACGCAACATGACTGCACTCATGAATTGGAAATTGGAAGGCAGTGTAAACACGGTGTCAAGATACCTTCAACTGTGTTACTGACCCTCTCAAATTAAACGAAAAGCTCTGAACACCGCATTTGTGTTGGAGGCGCTGACCACAGCCTCAACCTCAAAGACTAATAAGTAAACAGAGCATTACCGATTTCTTTAAAAGTCATATGTAAGGACTTTTTGTAGGACTAAATTGGTGTGCAAATGACGTCCTACTTTCGGTTGATGTACAGCCTGTGTCAGCTGTCCAGCTTTCTCAGCGAATAATAATGATGCACAGAAACTTCAGCATGCATTTTACCACATTACACTCTTTTTAAATGGTTTTCCAAAATGTGATGTATTTTTAAAAAGAATAACAATGGTGGAAGCATACCTTTAGTACTTTGTACTGTTGCCATGGTAAAGCTCAGATGATTTAAGACAAACATGGGGGGAGTAGAGAACATGGTTAAAATAGTCTATGATGAATGGAATATCAAAATGCACAAACAAGTGACAAAATGTAAAGAGGTTATAAGCTCTAAAAATAAGTTATAAGAGTCCATATGCCTGATCTAGAAAGGTACAAACCAACATCCATCTTTTCATTGTCTCATTGTTGTTGTTTCAAAAGCAATGTTTTCTGTCTCAGCTGTCAAGATACCAGTATTGCAAGTGTTGGTTGAGTTACCAAAAAATGTTATTAGGTTTAATGCAGATAATTAAGCTGAATATATCATGTATGTACATGTGTATGAATATGATATTTTGTGTGAGGTATTTTCTGTCTCAGATTTACAATCCCAAAATGTACAGAATGAAGACAATGTTAATGACATTTGAATTGTGCTTTTTACTGGATTCTATTTATATTTTGTTTGAAATAGAGAAAGCTTGAGTTATTGCAAGACTGTAAACTGTTTCGTGTGTTTTAGCAGTAATGCCAGCGAGGGTGATATTGTGGCTGCTTCTGGTTAAATAAAAGGTCTATCTCTGTAGGGATCCTTTCCATAATGTTGTCAGACACTTTTAGTGGGCGTTGGCTAATCCCCAGTAACACTGCAGCCAGAGCAACCCGCTTCGCAGCTACTTTCTCATTTACATTTCTTGTTTATTTTGACCAAACCAAAGTTGGCGATTGTTGGAAACACTAACAAAGACAGTTTTGATGAGTTTTATTCTCATTATTTATTTTATATATGACCATTGCAGAGTAGTTTAAAACCATGCTGAAATGATGTGTTTTATTATTTACATATGTTTCTCCTCTGACCACACCCAGCATCACTGATGTGTGCTCTGTCTCACCTGTAACCTGAAGATTCTTATTTCATCTTTAAACAGGCATTCCAGAGGTATATTAACGTAAAGTTACATGGTAAGCAAAGTTCACCTAATTTGCAGCTCAGATAAATTAATTTACTGTAGGCATTAGATATGAAAACCCTACTTTGAATCCACTTTGTCATAGTAAATTGATTCCTCACCATCTCGCAGTCACTGCAATCCATTATTTTTGAAAGCCATTGCTCCTGTGTATTGATTACACACACACACACACACACACACACACACACACACACACACACACACACACACACACACCAGGTTTTTGTCTTCTTTCTCCACCATAGCACCACAAATGCCCCAAGGATGCCATTGACCCCACTGCTGGCACTGAAGTGGAAGTCACTGATGCTGTAACAAAAGCTCTGACAGCGTAAATGGAGCTGAGATTCTTTCAGCTGCGAAGTGTTGAGCCCCTGCTACACAGCCATCATTCTAAACTGTTCATGTTTAAATGCCCTGCTCCTCTGTACATCAAAAAATTAGGCTATTGAAAGGTAAATAAACCCAGATGATAAACGGGCATTTGGCAGCCAAAAGCACAGTTTACTCAAAGCATTACATTTCTTCCAATGGCACACATTCTCGTAAGTGAGACTTTTTTTCTTTTTCTTAAAGCTCTGTCAGTGCTTTCTCAGCGGGATCCAAAGATGAAAATACAGTGGATGTGTTTCTCTGTGGAAACTGTCAAAGATCAGTGACCCAGCTCCTGTATCAAAGCAGCATTTTGTGACTGGTGAAACCCAATCTGTTGTGATTTGCAATGGAGCAGTGCAGTTTTCAGCTCATTGTCTCGATCACTTTTGAATGTCATAAGCCAAGTGTGTGGGCAGATTAACAAAAGAAACCTGATGACTGCTCCAGAGGTTGATTTGCATATGTACAATGTGTCTAGTTACCAAGCTTATTGAACAATTGTCCATATTCCAACCAAGCTGTTAACATGATTGCTAATGTTTCAAATGCTGTTAATATTTCCATGTTGATGTTGTATATGAGAATATACAAGAGATTAAACATTTTTCTTTTTTTTTAAAACAATCATATACCTAGATATGGCTACGGCGTGTGATACAGGAGGTAACAACAATCAGAATGACAGACTGACTACCGCTCAGAGGAATACAGCTGCTGGTAGTCAGAGCTAACCGAGCTAACCAGCCAGGAGCTGTAGCTTTTATAGTCACTAGAAGCACATTCACAGCTGTTTGTAAAGGTTTCTGTGCAGTACTTGTGTTGTAAAGTTAGCTAAACCACATTAGTTAACCTAGCAACTCAGCACTAACGAAGCTAACCAGCCACGAGCAGCTGCTGTCAGACTCTATGTGTCCAAGCTGGAAACAAACAGAGTCTGCTAGGTTCATAAGAGCTTAGCTGCGTTTGTGATTAGTTTTAAGCTTCTACAAGAGGCCACAGAGGCTTTTTAGAAGCAGGTAGGTTGGTGATGAAAGTGGCCATCACATACAGCAGGTTTTCAGCAGAATGAGCAGTCAGGTGACCCATGCCCTCTCCACTACACTGTCTTTTGGTACAGTTTCAGCCTTTAGAAGTATCAGTGAGCCTTTCCTGCAGTGTTGAAAGCTGTGTGCAATGTCTGCAACAGCTGCTTTCACTGATTAGTTCCTCCTCTCTGGTTTACTAATCAGCGCCATGATTGTCCACCCTGGCCAGAAAGAAGAAAACCATTCAGAGATTTGCAATGAATAATAAATAGTCCTTATGTACCGCGAGGGAGGGGAGTAATTGTTGTGTTTGACTAACATGGCACTTGAATTGTTTACTTGATATTGTATTGTATACATTACGTCAAGCAAGAACGCTGGATGTAAAATGTATTCTCCAGTTACTCTTCAAATAACCACTGTTCCACTTTGGTAAAAGCCCCATTTCCAATGCTATTTTCATCTTGTTTCAGGTGTGCACAGGGGGACGTTGTCACACACACAGCATGGCTAAACCGGTCAAGCATACTGTATGCTGGAGAAGACAAATGGTCAGTGGATCCCAGAGTGAGTCTGGTGACCCTTAATCAAGAGGAGTTTACCATCCAGATTGAAAATGTGGACATGACAGATGAGGGCCAATACGTGTGTGCAGTCCAGACAAGCAGTCGACCGAGGACCACCTCAGTACACATTCTCGTCCAAGGTAACATATACTACTGCTACTACTATCATACTACGAAATGATAACTGTCTGAGTGAGTTTCTGTAACACCCCTGGTTCTTTTTAACCTGCTCCCAGCAGTGAATCTATAGCCTGTAGTCTCAGTTCGGCAGGTGTCTGCTGGTCTCAACCATAAGACTGATGGTTGTGTTATTCCTGAGCACCGGCACATGAGGGCATAAGTGAACAAACCAGAGAGTACAAACACACATGTGCTTCTCTTTCTTGAATCTCATTTCCTCATTATTGCTCCACTGGAGCAATTAGGAGCTAAATGCCTTGCTCAAGGAGAGGGAGGGGAGTGTGTTCCTCATTCACCATATTAGGAGAGGTTAATGGGGAATGCCAGATGTTAAGAGGCTTTGGCTAAGATGATGTGTGGAGTGTGGATAGTGTCCTCATAGAGATGCAGGATGCAGTGAGGTGCACTCTGCTGTATACACATGCCATAATGGGAAGGCTTAATGCTACCAATTTGATATGCAGATGATTCGTGTAGCATAAAGTGCTGCTCATAAGGCACCACGATGAGATAACAAACCAGATGCTATTGGCCAGGTTTGGATTTCTTATGTTCTCAGTTTTCTCTGTGACCTGATGCAACAGAAATGCAACAATAATGACACAGTGTACTGTGCACAGTGCTAGTAACATAATGAGGACCACTCATTGTTTCATCTCTGCATCCTTTTGTTGAAAATCTGATTGCAAATCTGTTTTGTTTTTTTATAGCTTTGGTACTTTCGATACTATCGGATGATAGTGTTGCATTGTTTTAAACACGTGGTACCAAAAAGGTTTTAAAGTAACAATACAACCATGTGAGACCTATTTCATTGATTCTTTTGGCCGCACTGATTTGCATTTCCATTACCAGTTTAAATGCGGCAAGCCCCGACCATGTCTCGTGTATCATGATTTACTTTGTTCTTGCTAACGCCACTCCCTCTCTTCATTCAATCTTGAGCTCTCTCTCTCGCTGCTCTTTCTCTGCCTGTAAAGACACACCTTCAGGCAGGTAGCCCTGCTGTAATGGAGATGCAAATCCCTGCCACACTAGTCAAACCGAGGATAGCAAAGCCAGGCCAAGCTATCACCTTGTATGAAAAAGGCCTGCTAGTGCACTGTTCAATACAACCTGCATTTTAAAACCCAATTTTTAATCAATGATTAAGCTTCCTTTTTTTTTAACTTATGGACTGATCAAAAGTGAACTACAATTAGAATCTCTTCTTAAAGTAAGTTAACTTTTTTGAACATATTACAGTAGTAAGAGTTTTTCTTTGTTATGTCTTTATTCTATTATGCCTGTCACTTAATTTAACTTTAGAAAATGTTTAACTCGCGCTCATTACCATCTGCACCCTCACGTGAGCTGTGATTGTTTTTATTCACATGACAGCCATGAACGTCGACAGCACCTCTAATCTTTAATAACACCTTTAATTGAGACAACAGGGAAAAAGCTATATTGGATCAAAGTCTAAAGCTAAACAAAGCTAAGCTTTTTTTTTTTTAAGATTACACCCAAAGCTTACACCTACACAATTTGCTACCATTAAAACCCGCTGACAAGATCAAGCTACGTTTCATACCTTTTTACAAACAAAAATACCTTCTCTTCAAAACACATCTGCTGACAGGATCATGACTCTCATATTATGCTACACTGTGCACAATTTTGCACACATTTTCACATAATTATGTAAAATTTTGAATAAAATAAGAGCAAAAATAAATAAAACGACAAACTGTTCTTGTCCTTAAAAACTGACAAACATTGAAAAACTCTTATATGTATGACAAGAGAATTAAATACTATGACCGAACACATACGGTCATCCAGGTAGTTACGTGAATCTACCTTTTTTCTGGCGCATTCATGAAATTAAAGGTGTAACATTTAGTAGGTTCCTTTAGCAGAAATGGAATATAATATTCATAGGTATGTTTTCATTTGTGTATAGTGTACCTGAAAATAGGAATCGTTGTGTTTTTGTTACCTTAGAATGAGCTGTTTTTATCTACAGACGTTACGGGTCGCCTTCCAAGGAGTCCGCCATGTTGAACCGCCATGTTCCTACAGTAGCTCAGAATGGACAAACCAAACAGTGTCTCTAGGGCCACTGTCGTTTCTTGCGTTCACACGTCACAGCCCGTTGTCATTCCCGGGTCATCAAATACTGACGTTAGAGGTGTTTTAGTTGAAATCTGCAGCTTTACCACTAGATGCCACTGAATCATACACACTGGTCCTGTAAGAGAAGTGGTCTCTTGAACTCAAGTGTGAACCTGTCGTGACGTCATCCAGTAGTTTGTGGAGAACCGTTTTGAAGCCTCGAATTCAGCATTTTGGCTGCTGCCATGATAGTCAAACGGAGCAGAGGTGACATACTGCGAGTTGATCTGCTCTCATGATCTCGTATTACAGCTAAACAGTACACTAAAAAAAATATGTTTCTGAAACAATTTTAAGTGAGAAATAGTCAACGTAGTAACAGAATCTTCAGCACTGCCTAGTTTGACAGTTAGATCTGAGTTTGCTGCGTTGAGCTGGACAGACTCACTGAGAGTGACCTGTCAATCAAAAGGTAGCCCTGCCCAAAAGCATACCCTGCTTTATGGTCTATTATACTCTAAATTGGACCATAATTTACTAAATGAACATCATGCTGTATGGAAGAAGACTGAAAGTAGACATTGAGATCATAAACTTATCCGGAAACTGTTTACTGAGCTCATAAATTAGGTGACAAGTTAGCTCGTTAGAGTGAATGGTATCAGTGTGTCATTGCAGCCAATGGAGGTCCCCCTGCTGGCCTTGATATAGAATGCTAAGACACTTCTGCATTGGCTTCACTTTTCAGACCCAGAAGCTCTGTTCATTATATATATCTATTCTGTCAATGCTTGAACTCCATAATTTTTTTGAATTCTTTGACCTTTGAAAACTTTATGTTGTGTGGGTTTTATTGCGCGTATTTGCACTTGTTTAATTTTCCTGTAATTTATTCTTGTCTCTTTACTTTTTTGTGAAGCACTTTGAGCTACACCCTCTGTATGCCAAGTTATATATAAATAAAGTATATTATTATTATATTATTCTTAAGAGTTATATGGATGTTGTTGTAATGTTCTAAGATTAATGATGGACAGTGGAAACAGCTGTTGTGATGCTCAGCTCTGTGTCAAACTCCTGGCCAATCAAAAAGTGGGAAAGGGCGAGCCAAATTAAGTCAGGTTTCTGAAACCAGTGTGATGGCACCCACCTGTCACTCAAAGTAGTCGTGCCTTTAATTATGCATAAAGTTTAATATATTTGAAACAGTTGAGTTGTATAAAAATGTAGCCCCCGTGCACTTGGCATGAATGGGGAAATTGGCTTTGGAGACCAAAACCGTTTCTTGTACAAGGCTGTAAACATATTTGTTTCTGCTGTAAAGTTAGGTACTAACTTAGGTATTTTAATATTTGGCCTACCTTTGTAATTTTCTAATCATTTTCTGATCTTTCCATAATAAGATTTTTTTTTAAGAAAAATGTATTCTATACCATACCTGGATGGCTGTGTGTGTTTTTGCTCAAGTTGTTTTATCCACCAACTGTGAACTGAATTTGTGCTGGCTGAATTTTTATATACCTTATGCAGACACTGTTGTGATGCTCGTCTACATACGTGAAGAATGTCGAGCAGACGGAAACATTGTAAATAAATCAATATACCAGCATTTTATTATCAAAATACATCATATAATCCTTTGTCATGCATGCTGACAGCCACAGAGTCCAGGGAGTGTTCGGGGGTACTATCACAGGGCCATGGGCAACGAAGCACTCACATGATAAGTTTTCTACCCAACATCAGAGCATTTCTGTGCTGTGTAGTTCTGCTTCCAAGCATTCCCACTATGCTTAGATACATACAAAAACATGCAGAGTTTTATGTCCTAACTTTAGTCCCCAGGCTGCTGGTTTTGGTTTTGATGAACCAGCAGACTAAGGATTGCTGGGATGAGAAGAGAGGATCTGCAGAGTCTGCCTAAGGAGACCAGCTGGTACTCAGGGTTCAGAACACGAATGGGGTTACCCATTATCTCCTCTTCTCATCTGATTACTGATGTTATTTGAACCACCTGCCTATTGTATACAACAGAATCCAATTAGATGCATTTCAATCAGATGGGAAACAGTAGCTGTATCTTCAACAGGAGATTCTCACCAAACACACTTACCAAACGCTGAGCAATAAGGACATTACTTACATCTTAATTCCACCGCAGTTCCTAATTAGTTACTGTGTATTTTCCTATAAGTCATGCACATAGCCAACAGGGCAGGTCACAGGAGTAGGCAGATGCTTATCTTGACGAAGAGATCTTTGACTAGTCCAGACACACGGGTCACTAGTTCAAAAATAAGATATCTTTAACCACCAACCTTTCTCTTAATAAGGGCGGGGGAAATTTATTTCCCATCTTTTGCTCACAATTTGTTATGTTAACCCTCATCAACATATTTAACATACTGACTGGGGTCCCTGGGGAAAATGACGATAAGAAGCAATCAGAAAAACGTGAACTTTTTTCCTTCCAAACATTATTAGTTGTGCAGGTATGTCATCTGAAAAACAACCCACACAGGTTATTATTATTCTGTCCCTCTGCAGCCTCAAATAGGGTTAGATATATGCTTTTGCCCACACTCATATGTCCTGATAATGCTCTGACTGCAGAGTCAATCATATGCACACTATTCTCATACTCATAACACACTATTTTACAGTCTTGTCTTGTATAATCGAAAAAAAACCTTTAATTTGATATGATTATCCTTAAGAAGAGCCATATTTTAAATTGTCAAAAGACCACATAAGGAAATCTGTGTCTGTCTCTCCCGATTCTACTCGAGACTAAGGCTAAAATGCTATGTGGACCTGACTTGGTGACACTGTAATATTGAAAAAAGCTGTATGTACTGTGTGC